ACGAGCAGCCACAGCAACTTTTGAACGATACAGTGCAGCATTATCTTCTTGAAAAATTCCATTACCATAAGGAAAATACTTTTGTAAAGTAGGAACAACATATTTTTGAATAGTTTCAGCATGTGTTTTACCAGTAACTGAACCATTTAAAGGAACAATTAATTCAAGTCCATTTCAAGAAAAACATCCCCAAAATATTTTGCTTGGACTGTGTTTTACAGTAACTAAAATGTAATCAGGGTTCAATTCTTCTTCTGGTTCATGCCATACTTTTCCTTAACATTCTTGTTGAAATTGTGTAAAAGTACTTTCATCTGAAAAAAGCACTTTTCTCTATTGTCTTGTTGTCCATTTTTCATATGCGCGAGCCTATTTGAAATGAGCTTGACAATGTGCTTCTGTCATTACAGATTTGTGATGAGAAATACGAGCACTAAGTCTAACTTTTTTGAGGGTACGACGCATAGTAAATGTAGAAATGGATTTTTTTGTACGAGCTGTCTAAACAGTTGCAAGTTTTTTTGTACAAAGCCGACAATTTTCACCATTTTCTTGAATAAAAGCTTTAAGCTCTTGTTGAAATAGTGTATTAAGGAGTGGTGGGCGGCCAGTTTATTTTTTTGGTGTAAAAGAACCAGTTTGATGATAGCGTTTAAGTATTTTATAAACAGCTGTTTTGCTACACCTCAAATTTTTAGCAATAGTTCAACCTGATTGTCCACATTTTTTACCATAAATAATAGCATCACGGGGTTTTAGGGTGAGCGCTTTCATAATTTCACAAAGCTTTAACTAAAAGTAAAATAGCTAAAAAATTTTGTGTATATGTTTATCATATAAATAAATAAAAAATTGTAATATTTATATCACGTGATCATATGATAATCTGCCCAATTTTGGTAAAAAAAAATTGTTCGCATAATTTTGGTTGTTGACTGTAGTATTAGAATGCTAGTAGTAGTCTAGCCAGAAAGGAATCTCACTATGCATATATTATTAGTTACTATCATGTGAAAGTGATATTACATCAAACACAGCGTATTCACTAATAAATATGCCAGAAAATCTAAAAAAATACGTGATATTATATCCACATATCTGCTATGATTATTATTTACTGCCTTACCCATTTTGCCAATTTTTTCCTGATACCAAAACTTTGAAGTTTCTTTCTTTGCTCAACATCTTCTAAGAGGATTCCTTCTAAGACTCTTTTCAAAATATTCTCAAAATTCTCCACCTCCTTCTTAAGAATGCTTGTCTATTCGTCCTGCTCTACTCATATAAATAACATTGTAAAGATTTTGATGATATCAAGAGGCTCTCTCATTAAAAGGAATTCTTCTATGTTTTGATAGAATAAAAAAGTTAATATTAGTATAAAGTTTGTTAGGCAAAGTAAAAAAATAATGTACAATAAATTTCAATACCTTTTTACCATACTGCCTTTTTAAATATCTTGCATTTTCCAATTACATTTTCTCTAACTCATATTCATATTAGGAAAAAGAGATAGGAGAGGCACTTTATGCCAAAATTTTATGTTTAAAAATAAAACATACAGAATATGTATTAAGATCTCAATATTGCAAAAATATTAGAAAGTATGCATATATATACTTTTTTATTTCACTTGCTTAACCGTTCAGTAATAAAAGGCTTAATAACATTATATAAATATACTCTGATCAGAATCTAGAAGAAATAACCTATAGCAACACAATGCTTCAGAAGAAATAAATTCAAATAAATGCTATTCAGATAGATAAGGAAACATTTTAAGGATTGATTTCTTATGTGTGAAAATTAATTAGTCATATAAGCAGTCATACAGAGTTATAGATAATTTTTGATATATCACTTATTACATCATATACACTTTAATGAGAATCGAAAACATGCTAATTTATGCTTTAGTGTCTTAATGGCTGTCGCATATGCCTTCATGCATTGACTTTGAGGCACTTCATATAGCTGAACAATATATTATTTTATTAATATAATATTCAGAATCTGAGTCAAGGTCTGATCTAAAAAATTCAACGCACAAACTTACAATTATCATTTAAGTCTGTAAAATTTATAGTAATATTCTTCCTATAAATATGATATATGTATTTTAATAGCGAATCGCATATAGGTTTCATTTCTGATGATTTAATCTTATATGTCTTGTATTCTAAAATTCTGATGAATACTATAATATTTGGGATTCTGTAGTCATTTTAACATGTCAAGCCAATATATATCTCTAATAACTATATAACCTTATTGATATAATAATTTCTTAACAAGTATGAACATTGCAAAAGATAATTATTACTATAATTAGGCTCTCTTCTCATACATCTAATCATTTCTTACTGGATAACAACGTCTCATCTCTATAACAAATATATCCTGATTGTCTTGATTCATTTTTTATACTTAAAAACTTTATATCATTAGGAGTACCATCATTCCTTATTACCTTTCAAACTTGTTTTATCAAAGATTCAGGTTTTTTCTTATAATTCTTGTAAACTCACTGGATAATTGTTACATAAAAATTTTCAAAGCTATAATTATAGTAATATTTAAAAAGCAAGAATTTCCAAGATCGCTTTATTGATCTTCCTAAAATAATACTTCATTATAAATTAGAAGATCTAATCCAGAATATGCAAATTATGCATAATACCTTGGTCAATTTTCTTCATGTATATGAAGCATTTCACAATTTCACCAGGTGATCAGTGATATCATATGCATTTTAACGAAGATCAAAAATGTGATAATTTATGTTACACATTATTTTTCTACATGTATTGGTCTCAAAGCGTTTCACATGGCTGAAAAATAGAGAAAAAAAATTAATATACTATATTTCTCAGAATCAATCAAGCCAATTAAACAATCGTAATTACTGTTCTATCTCTTAATCTTAATACAGTGTCTTTTGGCTATTTTGCATACTAAGATGAGATAAATAATTCACTTTTATTGCTTTTGCATTGTATTTTATTTCTTGCTATAGCTAATCTATCAGATAATTAGCATCTCTTATGCTTCAAATAACTTATATAATCATAAAATTGATCTAGCAGAATATTAAAAGGTCTATATAATCCATCAATAGAATACCATATATCTAAGTTTATAGTATAATAAATTTCTCTACTAGGCATACTGAGAAATTTCTTTTCTTTAGAAGTGTTATCATTTCTAACCGCCTTCTAAATTTGTTTTACTAATAAAATAGGCCTTTTCTTATAATTTCTATAAGCTCTTTGAATAAGTTTAACATATTCATTTTCAGTTTTAACTTTGAAACATTCATTATTCCAATGGTATTTATCAGATCCTTAGATTTAATTTCATATTTATATCTGCATCATCTATTGAAATATGTTTTTTTTAGTTTTACATTAGTAATCTTTACCAATTTTCAGCAATTAAAGCAAATAGCCATATTACTCTTATAGATTCTGGGTTGACGATAAGTATAAGAATTATTTATCTTACCATTTTTGAATTAGCAAATATGTTGTGATAGTGATATAAACTGAATCTCTAATTAGTTAATAGTTCTTGTAATCAAATTCTAATACTTACTGTCCAAGCAACTAGTGACTGGCCTAGCTTAACAACTGATAATATATCATATTTCCTTTTTATTTTAATAATTTTATTGATGTCAGTTCTATTACAGTAATTTATAATATATGCATTCATATTTCATATCATATCTAAGATGATTATTAACGGGTTTAAGTATAACTTTATTAAATTGCTCATTTAGAACAATATTAAAAACTATTCTGGACATATTTATTAACGAATTAATTGATTTATGTTAATTTTGATGATTATAGCATTTTTAGTTAATTATAATGATTTTTTATCAAAGAATATCATAATTCAAATTTATATAGATTTGCTTATTGATTTATAGCCGATTTATAACAGTTTGTAATAACTATATTATAATAAAATATTGGATTCATTTTTATTTAATTATAAGCATATCAGGATTTATATAGGGTCATAAGCTAATTTTATATTTACATGCATATACACAACGCCTGGCTAAATCAGTTTGTGGTATAACATATATCAATATCACATGTATTATTCTAGATTCCTGCCAGTTTCTTAATAGTTCTAGAAGAGTTCTAGGAGCTAGTGAGTTTCTATACATAATCCCTTGTTTAAAAAATGACTAAATCATAAGATGATCAGCCAATCAGATTTCAATTGATTTATACAAGACATTTATTTCTAGATATGAATCAAATTTTTAGTTATATATGAAATCATTAAGTTCTTAAAGGTCATAAATTAAAAAATCAAATAGCATGATATAGACAAAGCTTTATTATTTTTTTCATTGATACAGAGCATTTATAAAAATGAATCTATTGACCTACTGGTTAGCGAAAGACACATGACTGTAGCGCAGTAAAATTACTCAAATACTTCTTTTATAGTATCAATTTCATTTCAATCCAACTTAGAAATTCTCAATGTGAAATATGATACATAATGTATTTTATCAATCCCAATCCTACTGAAGAGGTTATATATCTTCTTTGCTCTTTTCACTCTCTTTTCAATTGTATTTTAGGAGAGATTATTGAGAAGTTATTCTCCTACTTCATCGTTTAATTTTCTCTGAGCCTTATGTTTACTATATGTAATTTTATAGAAGGTGAGTCTATTCTCAAGTTCCTTGCTAAATGAATAATAAGCTCTAATAATTTCATGATCATTGGTCATAATTCTTCTTTCAGCCTGAATAATTGCTTTATATAAATTAGTAAAACTCCCTGAGCTTCAGGTTGTGATTCTGAGTTATCCTCAACAAAACTTGATAAAGTTTTCAACCCCCTCAATAAGTTTTCCAGCATAGGCGATGCATCTTTCAATCTCTTTTTAGTTCTCACTTTTTTTCTGCTAGAGATATCCTTCACATTTGTCCGCTTATGGGATGTATTCAAATTATTTGAGACTTCTTTTGATTATAATAGATTATTACCATCAACCACACCACATGAGCAGGGTAAAGCACTATGATTATCTACTTTATTCACGCAAGTTTGATGAATAATGTCACTACAAACATTTATAACGAGCAATTTAGGCAGATCTTCTAAAAAAATAGACATATCACAATCTCTACACGTCCATTATCAGAGATAGCTTTATTCATTTTAATTAACGAAAAATCTGATTTTCATGAAGAATATCTTCTAGGCGGTATTTTAATATATTTAAGGCAAATATTTTTAAGAATCTATTGCAAGCTAGTTGTATAATATAAGTATCACTGTTAGAGGTAAAGGTATGAGCTAGTTGCATATTATTACTTTGAGTAAAAATAGTGAGTATATCCAATGAGATGTTTACGATATCCTCAATACCCTTCATACTATCTATATTGATATCATCAGCAGTGATTTTTTCTACATTAAATGAAGCTTCCATTGTATTCTCTTGGTTCTCTATATCCTACCCACTTATTATTCTTGTGGTCTGAAAAAAATGTTGCTAGTTTGCTTAAACAGACATTTTTATAGTACTTGAAATTCATAGAAAAATAGATTCTCCAGATCTGATCCAGTTTCTTGCAACTCTTCCTGAAAATCTCTATTTAATGATGCATGTATTTTATCATTATATTAATTCCTCTTTATTAATCCTTAAATCTCATATGTATAATAAAGATTACCAAAGAAGAAAGGTCCTAAATTTTACCAAAAAAGGCTTATTTTATTTATTATAATACAAATTAGTTCCTTAGGGCTTTGATTATTTTTCATTATCAACGACTTCAAGTTGTAGGTTTCTTTTTGATTATTCTCTTATCAATATAAAGCAAAGCATGAAGAATGAACGAAAAGTATTTTACACTACATGATTTCGTTATTATTAAGCAAGCATGGTTTCTAACTGACATTTTATTTCCTGCTTTTTCTTCATTAAATTATTAGAAAAGTGGATAGAATATATAGTATTTTTTTTTGCGAAGTTCAAGAAAGAAAAGAGAAATAGGACGAAAGAGTTATTATATATAATTTCAGGTTTGCATTTAGATATAGCAAATAAATGGAGTGACTTTGAGACTTACCTGTTAGAAATTATCTAATGGAACCTATTCCATTACCATTAATCTCAGCACCTTACTCAAATCTTTTTTAGTCTTATACAAGGAGAACGAATGCTTAATTTTTTTTCTTTGCACTCCTTAATAATTATTTGTGAGGGTCATAGCGCTTTCTTTGAAGCTCACTTTATCAGCAATCTTTTTTTGAGTTCACAATAAATTTGCAAAAAAAACTTGAAACTAATATATATGTGAGAAATCTAATATCATACAGACTGGTATGATTGTTAATTTATCAGACAATCTTATTACTATATTACTATCACGTGATTTTCACTGATCGATTGGATAATGAATCAAAGAAAAAAATCTTTACCTATAATAATTTGAAATAAAAGCTGACAAGAATTTTTCCAATATTATACTGCACATTTCAGATAATCGGTCTCACATAATGAAGTTTTTATACTACAATTGTAAATTTGAATTTATTGCCTAAAGTGAAGCAAGTAAGACAATATTCTGTTTCATTTTTATACCATTTGCCATGTAATCCATAATTCCCATATTTTTCATTGCAAATAGAACATGATAAGCTTCATGGCTGAGGTGATGCAAAATTATAATTATTAATCCTTCTGAAACTATTTTAGAATTTCAAATATGTAAAATGCTCTAATATGGATTTGATAATTAACTCTGAATCAGATTTGACTTTGAAAGTGATAAACTTGAAATCAGAAGCTTAAGGTTTTTCTAATATACTTATCACAGCTTCTGATAATTGCCATGGCTTATTTCCAGTTTTTTTTTATATCTTTTATATAAATTGATATGAATCTTATCTGTCAAAATGCTTAGTAATCCAGTTAGTTTGGCATGCTAATCCAGATATTCAGGGATTAATGTTTTATTAGACTTGGTTATGTTGCTTTTTTCTATAATTGCAAATCAATCTAATTAGGTAATAGTTGACATGTGTAAAAAATAATAAGACTATGCAATTATCTCAATTTCGTGTTGTTCACACTTAATAAAATAGGATTTAGCCTTATATCTACCTTCTATACTTTCCTTATCATCATGATTTAAACTGCATAATAGGCAAGTTCTTTTGAAATTGCAAGATGTCTCATTAGTAATACCATAACAGTCAAAATTTTCACTACTAAATTCTCTATATAAAGTAGAATATTGGCCTAATGTTTTGTTGCAAAAATAGGATCGGTCATAAGTAGTCCTAAGAATTAGTAAATGAGATGTAATAGAAATATTTACCTTAAGTTTTGAAGATGCATCACCATTGGTGATTTTCAAAGGCACGTGACTCTAATTGTTTTCTGAAGAAACAATTTTTGAATTACTTGATCTATAACATTTTGAATTTGTTCATTAGTTAATTTTGAAATCTCATTTGCACTGCAATTGACACATTTAATCTTATCAATCCTTATACCATTCTCTTCAAACAATTTGTGAATTTTTTTAGCTTTAAGAGTTTTAATTCATAAGGCAACAGGCATAACACCAGCCATATGTTCTAACATTTCCTTATATATTTGAGTTCTTGTAGTTTTATCAGTAACTTCTGTCTCTTGACAAATTCCAATAACCTTATTTTCAAAATTATCTGAATAATGAACCCAGGACAAAATCTCTTCATTTCCAGCTTATGTTGCATTTTGAAATAAATAGATTAAACTTTGTGTTATAATTAGCCGTAAGATGCTTCACAAGAGAATGAATACTGCTCACTAATTTTGGAAGGTGAAGCAATAATACTGCCACTCTGTAAATCTCGTATTAAATCAAGTTCTATATTCTGATTTTTAGTGAGCTTGATCTCATCAGAGTCATCAAAATCTTAAATAATCTTTTGCTAATTTCTTGAAGTTTTCTCGATTTTTTCCAACTTCTCTGAAACCATCTGATCGTTTCCCAAGGAAATAGTTTTGTACTACTTTCAATTTTATCATTTCCTGAGGAAACAGTCGGATTATTTTTCACAGAAGATAATACTTTAAGGAAGGCTGTCTCACACAGAAGTTTCTCCTTATTGCGTCACCTTATCCCATCACTAACACTTTTCTTATATACATCATCTAAGAAAGTATCCATTTTCCTATCCACTGATGATTTCTGATTACTCACATAAGATGGCAAAGATTGATTCTACTTTCTTTGACTATAGTCGGGAATCGATAGTAAATTATCATCAGATGAAGAATCTTTAGCGAAATACTTTTCAGTACTTTTTACTTCTACTTTTATCTCTACATTCAAGTATATACAAGAAGATGGAGCTGATTGCTTTACAATTGCTTCCTTATCATTCTTTAATACTGCCACAGAACTCTGTTCCACTATTGCAAATCTGACCTCAAGTTCTATATTTTTTTGCTCTAGTTCCTTGACTCTAACATCACGCCTGGCATTCTCTTCAATAATTTGCCTCAGCTTTGTGCTTTTAGCCTCAACCTCTGCAACCTTCCTCTTAAGTTCAAGAATCTCAGCATTCTCGCCCTTGATTTCATCCTGAGTTCGGCAATCTCATCTAAGAGCTTAGCATTCAACTCTCTTAATGAATCAATAGATTGAGCGTTTGACATTGTTTTATATAGGATATGAATAATTCAAAAGTTTGTCAGTATAAATATAAACAAGGAAATACCTTATCAGAATTACACTATTAAATGTGGCTTTATTGATACAGAAAATAAATTACATGGTTTAATGATACATAAACTTGTTTTACAAAGTGAAATGACGTTTTTATACTAATGCCTACATACCACAACAGCGTTTAGCTATCCACACTAATACAATATCCCAACATTAACTTTAATCCGATTTCATTTGCCCCTAACACTGATATTCTAGATAGAACAAAACTGTCATCAGTACATGAAAGCAAGCAATACAAATAAATCACCTTAACGAAACTATACTATCCACCTTCTATGATACTAACTGAAAAAAAATCATACCTTATTTAGTGTAATCTTTTCATCTGAAACTTTCTCTAACAACTTCTTCACTATCGCTTCCGTCAAACTGCAATATGCCAGCTTCTTTTAAGCGAGCATATTTTCTTCTGACATAATGTACAAGAGAGAAATCACGTTATACAGACTCATGTCATCTTTAGAGATCATTAACGAAAATTATTTTTATTTTGAGCATTATGGTAAGACTAGTCAGGCATCTTGTATATTTATAATGAGAATATACTTTAGCATTAAAAGATCTAAATCCATTGCATAAAAGTTCAATAAAAATTATAATATAAATTATACGTAACTCTTTTTTTTTATTTGATTTATAACTGCACGAAGATGATACATCTCCCAAAGTCGAAGCACGAGTCCATAAGCTTTGGAGGTAGTTTCCTAAGTCCAAAGCGTAGGGACGATGTAAAGGGTGAGCATTTCTGCGAGACCTTCATCTTCTCTTTCTACTAATATACCTCCCGGACGCGTCCATAAGCTTTGGAGGTAGTTTCCTAGGTCCAAAGCATAGGGATAGTGTAAAGGCGAGCATTTTTGCGAAACCCTGGTAGAAAAGCAACGGGTGAGCATTCTTGCGAAACCTTAGAAAGGCGAGCATTTCTGCAAGGCCCTTTTTACGACGAAAGAGATTCTGTTGATCGCAGTTTTGATACATTGCACCTACACGTGATTTGATAAGCTGAGAGCTCGAGACGCGTAAATTGTCTAATAAAATTTGAAATTAAGATATATTTAATTTTATTAAATAATTTAAATATACTAAAAATTTTAAATCAATAAAAAAAAATTCAAAGTTAATCATGGATTATAAAGTCCCCGCACATATAGAAATCGATACTTATTTTTCTACCATTCTGGTATCCAAATGGCATTGTCTCAATGATTATATGAATTTCAAATTAGGGATCAGCCCACTTTCGACAGCGCCAGATTTATATAGATTCTTTTATAGATCATTGGCTATAGTTGAGAAAAATGAGGCTGGTAGTTATCCTAAGTACATTGTGAATTATGCAAAAAAGCTAAAGACAGCTGTCAAGATAACCTTTGCTAATAATTCTCACCCTTTCAAAAGCTATTGACTAATCAATAGTGTTATAGTCGAAAAAAAGTTTTTTATTGAACTTGCCAAAAAGATTATTGATCGCATTGATTGATGGGAATTAATGAAAGAAAATAATATTGATATTTGTGAAAAACAGGTGAGATATTATCACTGTCATTCTGTTCTTTATACAGATCATCATTAAGTGTTAATGCAACAACTAACTTTTAGACCATGCGAGATCAAGCATCTAAGTCAAAAGCATTAGACGATATAATAAATGCAATTACTGGAAAGCGTAAAAGAGATAGTAATGACGATTGTGAGAATGAGCTTAATAAAGAAATGGTAAGAAGAACATCATTTTTTGGTTTCATCAACATCTTTAAATATTTGCGCATATCGCTTATATATTTTAATTTAGGTCTAAGAAAATTATGCTACTTCTGCAAGAGAACCTAATAATAACTTTGCAATTTCCTCATTTGGTATTGAAGTGAGCTCTAAACAAATACTTACATGGGACCATGTAGTACCAAAAATGGAAATAAACGAAAACTCTTTAAAAGATGTATATTAAATATTTGCTGAAATGATCACTTGTATATTATATTTTTTGCTGAATCATCTGCATTTGAATAGTGGATAAATGAAGGGCACAATTTTTCCAAAGATTTTTGGCAATTTCAGAAGTCTATCATTGAGAAACTAAAAGTCAATCCGGTTTTAAGCTATGTAACTGATTGTGAATCCATAATATAGGCACTTTTCAATGAAAATCTGTGTATTTTTAATAGAATGTTCACAGAATTTTTATAATAGCGCCTTATCAAGCATAATGATATTAAAAAAGAACCAAAAACTAGCTTATATTTCATGTATCAATAACGAGTGGCGGATGATATTTTCACGCATTACTTATAAATTCAAGATGCCAGCTCTTGTTCAATCCACTATATGTTCGTATTCAATGGTAAGTATATATATATATACAGTATATAATATATAAATCAATTAACTATCATTCAATACACTAATTATATTTTATTGTAAGCATATAATAAGAGGTGAATTGGTCAAATTTGAAGAGCTGTGGCGATTAAACTGGAGCAAAGTATCTTTATTGGATGGTCAAGAAAATAAGAGGATATTTGATTCAGTGTAGATCATAACACGTAATTTGTAAGTAGACTGATATTAGATAATCAATCTATATGTATTTATGATGTATTAATTATAATGTTATGCGTAGCTTTTACAATTTACCATATGGAAAAAATAAGAATCAATCAGATGAAGACACCTACACCCACAGAACTTGCCACGTAATTTTGGAAGAGATTTTCCGTATCAGAACTATGCAACTTGTATGGTATGTTCTATGCTATTGCCTTACGATTAGTGTTTTTACAAAGACATTTGTAAAATTGTAGTTTATGCAGGGCGAACGGAGAAAGTAGTTCATCTAAAAATCAATGTTTAGGGAATTCCGATATCAATAGGTTAAAGCCCGATTTCCGCTTAATTTGTAAAGATGAGAATGAGAGTGAAATATTATTTAGAGAGATTAAGCCACCAAAAGTAGAAAATCACAAGTCCATTGCAAATCATGCACTTGCAAAATTGGCTACCCTCATGAAGAGTGCATTAAACATGGGGATTCATGATGAAATGTATGGTGTACTAATTAACGGTGAATAATCAAAGCTAATCCTATATTGATGAGCGATATGCTAATTATATGTTTATGGTATAGGAAACAGGATTGAGTTTTTTCGGATCACTTTAGAATATAATAGCTTATACTAGCTTGTCTCTCTAGTAGAAATGACTTTTCCCACTGAGGCAGCGGAATTTCTTGTAATCATCTCTGTTATAGAAAGATATTACGAATTAAGAGTAAGAATCTAATTTATAATAATATATTGGTTTGTTTTAGACATTCTTATCTACATTATAAATTTCATTCTAGGAACTTGTTCTCGAAACTGATAGAAAGAGTAACTCCCACCTGAATGAAAATTATCAGTGTGATTCAAACTATAGTCCTACGAAGACAAAAGTTCCTGTTATCAATATTCAAACATCTGGTCATACAGAATGATTTAATTTTTATCAAGCATACCTGTAAATTAGTTTTTCGCAGAATAACTGATACATAATATTGTATATTTATATAACGAATTTTTACATGACTTGCTATAATGTTCACTGCTAAAAAAACGTTATTATTGTATTTGCTATAAAAAAAAAAATAATAAATAAACATATCCAGCCATTTCATGTAAATGAAATAGATGATGCTATCAAAGATGAGGGAGTACATGAATCTTAGGCCATTTAATGTGAGTCCCAGCATCAAGTCATTTCAATATATAACTAACTTGTTTCTATCTATATCGCTAACTATGAGATTCTTACCCATATCAAATAAATTATAAAGAAAGTATGATTTTGGCCAAGTTCTGTAAGAGAATTTCCCAGAGATTAAGTAATTTTAAGCCTGCGACTATGAATCCAAACTGGAGGAAGGGACCTATTGAGAATAGAAATCAAACAGCATTGAATCAAACAAAAAAGGAAAAACACTTGAAGATTCATTTAGGTCGTTATTTTATTTGGTGGGGGAATTAATAGATATACGGGGAGATCTCGATGTGGATTGCCATCCTGTTCTTACTATATTATATAATAATATACATGATCTTGAGGGAGAAATATATGGGAAAAGGTCACTTGGGACATTATATTATTTGCTTTTATATTTGGAAGAGAATATTAGCATGATTCAGAATGTTCTTGGCATTGTCGGTCATTCTGATCAGGAAATAAGTGAATTAGAAAAAGCCAATAAAAATGCAAGAGCATATCTTCAAAACTTCTGACGGTTCCTTACCTTTAGTGCCTTTGGCAGAAAATGGTTCAGGTGTGTTAATACAGAAATTCATCTATAGGAAGTAGAAATGTTTTATTTTACTGAAAGTAACTACCATTGTGTGAAAATTCAGCTAGTGTCCATGTCTAGAACAGGTTAGCTAATCTATATTAATTTTTTGTCATATAGGAGTACACGTGAGGCTTAGCAAAAAATCTTCTGAGCTGATGATCACTGGGATGATGATCAGTATTCCAGACTTAGCCCTTAATAGCAATCATGGCAAACATTAATACCGAAATGCTTGCTCAATTTTATGGATTGCTTTTATATAAAAAGAAGGATATAATAGCTATTCAGGAAAAACTCGGTATTGGTGAGAATGCAAATCAGTTGGCAGTACCTTCAGATTCTAAGCTCATGGAAAAAACACTTGCTGATTTATATGAATTGTTATTATAATTGGTAGGGGATTTAATACTGATACAGGAGAATCTCAACATTGATAGTAATCATCTTCTAGAAGTGAAATATCGAAACAATAAAGCTTCTACATATATTTCATTTGATGAAATATTTAATTTACTTATATATTTAGAAGATGATATAATAGCAATTCAAGAAGAGCTTGATATTGTTGGTTATTCTAATCAAGAAAAGGCAGAAAAAGTTGATAAAAATGTAAGAGCTTATCTTCAAAAACTTGAGGAATTTCACGGTCCACTAGAAGATGATCCAGTTGTAGTATTAGAAAAATATGGTAAAATAAAATTCAGTTTACTGGAGAGAGACATCCACTATTTCTAAATCTCTCTTCTCAACAATTACATGAAATTTTCGTAAAAAATTCAGCTAACACTGATCAGTGTTCATGCCTAATATAAGTTAGCTAATCTATATTTTTATTGCACAGACTATAACCCAATAAAAAAAATCTTCTGAGCTGATTACTGATTCAGATTAGTTAGATCAGTAGAGTTCTATTCTAGATTGACTAGTATTCTTTCACCAGCTTTCAATATTAAGGTGGAAATAATACCTTGAGTTGGTGATTATCTAGCTATAGATGTATTAGAATATTAACTAAGTAAATCACCAAGTGCTCCAATCAGATCAGGAATTGTTATTGCTCTTCTCTAAATAAAATCTTTGCCAAATATGACTAGATTGCTATTACTTTTAGCATCTGCTCTATTTTATCATCTGACCTTTCGCAATTCTCCTCCTTAGCTATTTGATAATAAAACTTATATAATTCTTCTAGGCTGGCACATAGATCATTATCTGCATATCTTTTGTGATAATTTTCTAGCCTTAGAATTAGTGTTTTGCACAGATTTAGATCAATCTGAATCTAATCTGAATCTGATAAATTGAATTCAGATCAGATCTATCAGATTCAAATCTAATTCAGATTCAAATTCAAATCAGATTTGATCTATCAGATTCAGATTCAGATTCAGATCTGATCCGTCAAATTCAGATTGAATTCAGATCTGAATTTAGATCTTGAATTAATTATCATTAATAAATTGATAATCTTTTTTGCCGATATACTATTGTAAACTTCTTTCTTTAGAACTGAAAAAAGCAAGTTTACCAACTTCAGCTGTGGTAAGTAAATATTTTTTTTAATATTTTTTTTTATTTTCTCTTTTTTTACTGTTTGTTAATATATTTTTAATTTATTTTAGGGTTCGTGTCTAATTAAGTGAGTAGTGTAATAGGGGAATTGGAGCAGTGGGGGTAGTAAAGGGCAGTGGAGGCAGTGGATAAATGGGAGGCAGTAGTATGGTGAAGTGGTAAGGCGAAATGAAAGGGAGAAGTGTCAATGTGTGTAAATTAGAATTATTAATTTTTAAATTTTTATATTTTAGGATCAGTTGAAAATTGTGGAATTAACAATTAGTGATTATAGCAGTAAGTCACTTTAATTTAATTTTTTTGTTTGTTTATTTTTTTAATTTATTATTTATTTATTTTTTAATATTAATTAG